TAGAAAAAATCAAAAGGAATTTAAACATTCTCTAGCAAAGAAATGCGAATGGCTTATGTTCGCTCTAAGAGATGTGATACTAGCCAGAACTAATGACGAAAGTCACTACTGCTTAAGTCGGCACTATGCTACAGGTCGCCATGTACGAGGAGTAGAGAGATGGAGGAAAAGGAATGGGAAAAGTATATTTATTGATGGTGATATTGATGTGCCCTTTCTTTTCGAGAGAAATCACTGCTTCATCTCAAGTCCAAAGCAGTTCTTCATTTGCGGCCCCCCTCACCAAATACCATATCAAAAGAAAATACACGGCCAAAATTCCTTTTTCGATTATATTATTAAACCCAACCATAGAATCCCATCTCTTTATCTATCTCTCTACCGACCTACCCAGTATCGACTACCTCAACTCGAAACTGTTTTCATTATCCCCTTTCCTCTTCCCCTTCCCCTTCCCCATCCCTCCCCCTCCCCCTTCAATTTTATGATGGTTGCAAGCGAATCTCCCGAGGTATGTATGTATGATATATGTATGTCTGTGTCTGTGTCTGTGTCTGTCTTTATACCATCAAAGTCGTAGGTGCTAGGTAGATATTGTGGATGGTGATGGTTTGAGTGCCTAGTAATCTAAACTAACCTGATTCGAGATTAGCGTCATTAAGGAGTTACTTTCTGGCTTCTCTTCCCAGGTTTAATAAAATCATTAAAGCAGATTTCTCCCCTTCCATCATTTCATCACCTCGAAGAAAGTCTCTCCTCTCTCCTCTTCCATTCTTCATTCTTCCTCGATTCTCCTCCAACCTGCGTCAAGTATTACAGCCTTCTTAATACTTAGACTGTCTACTCGAAGTCGATTCTCTTTTCTTCAATATAATGCCAAAATCGGCACTTTATCTATCCTTCATTCTACAATAACAATAGGTCAATTTCACAATCTCCAATTAACTTCTGGTCGCAATCTCCCCACAGCAAGGAGAACGAACACACAACCCCCCAGTACAAAATACCTATCGTCAGAATTCTTGTTCAACCACCCACATCAAAAATAATTTCAAAAACAACCACAACATAAATATCTTTAAAAACTCGACCGACAAAAGTCGAAGATCTCATACACACATCTCGCGAGCAATCATTATTCATCTCGGTTTGGTGTGAGAAATTACCATCCGAAAGTTCTTTTTTTGCTCAAAATCTTTGGGGGTACTATTGTGCGAACACTTCGGACTAAAGCTTTGACAAGCGTGCCCACCGGCTCCTTGCATCACAACAAACTTTTCTTTTCTCTTTCTCAACATCAAGAATATCTGCCTCTCATGATGAGTCAACAGTATTCCGAGATGTTCCAGGACTATCCTCCAAATCGATCGCCAGCGACAAGTCGAGGAGCTTATGGCAATATGACGCTTAATCGCCAATCATCGCGACAATTTATGGACAATTATCAAGCACCTCTTCAAAATGGAGGTGGACTTTACGCTTCTGACGACGCATCACAATACAACGGAAATCAAGCCGGCTATAGAGGTCCTTCCAGCAACGTGAATTATGCCTACGAAAGTCAAACTTGGAACTATGGAGGTGCGAATGGAGCTAGCACAATGGGCACAGCAGGCCGTATGAGACCTCAACAACAACAAGCTCGCAGAGCTGAAATCCCATCTGTATGTTACCCCTATATTAGTTACGAATGGAATCTTGCGCGCCCCTCGAAATTAAACTGACACTTGGTAGGGTTGGATGAATTCAGGCACTCCGTCCCTCGGCGGTCCAATCACCCAAACATCCTTACAGCAGCATAACTTGTCTGGCATGTTTGAACAACCTCAGCATTCCCATCGCTCACCCCCACCACCAAATCAGCAAAGCGATCACGAAGAGCTCATCCCAACCGCTATCGTCATCAAAAATATTCCTTTTGCTGTGAAGAAAGAACAACTGACAGAGATGATGTCTAACATGGGATTGCCATTGCCATATGCCTTTAATTATCACTTTGATAATGGTGTTTTCAGGGGTTTAGCATTCGCTAACTTTACTGATGCTCGCGAAACGCAACAAGTCATCGATGCCTTAAACCACATGGACTTGCAAGGACGAAAGCTCCGAGTAGAGTACAAGAAGATGCTTCCAGCTGCAGAGCGCGATCGAATCGAACGCGATAAGAGAGAAAGACGCGGTCAACTTGAAGAGCAACATCGCGCACCAAATGTCATCTCCACAGGCTCCCTTCATACCGCAGGATCTATGACTTCCATGAATTCCGGCCTGAGAACTACATCCCCTTCACCTGTAAACATGCGTCAGAATGTTGCCACCACCAATGGTACCGCTGGTTAGTGCTGATTTCTTTTTCTCGCGCACAAAACTACTGAACTAACATTCTTGCAGCAGAGTACGATTTAAATGATCCAACAACATTGAACTATTACACCGAGCTACTCTTCTTCAAACAAGACGCCGAAAGAGAAGTTTTAACATTTGCGCCTACAGTTTCTCCTGCCGATCGAAGGATAATCCACACCTTGGCTCATAATATGGGATTAGATCACCACTCTCAAGGACATGGCGAACTCCGTCAAGTACAAATTGTCAAGCCTAAGCTTGCCAGCCCACCTTTGAACTCAATCCAAGCTGGATACTATAACGAATCCCAACGTCGTGGACTCAACCGAGCTGCAACAATCGATTTCAGTGAGCAGCGAGCCAATGACGCTGCCTACCAAATGCATACGCTCGGCCGACAAGGTTCCGGTCTTCTGGATATCCCAGGTTCTCCAGGGGTTCGTGACCTGCTTAGCGGTGATCGTAATTTACGAACCGCCAAATCGTTTGCGGACTTGCGCTCCTACACGCCATCACCTGTACCGTCGTCGGCGAGCTTCCCAGCTAATATGACCCAGAATATCGCCAGATTCCAAGGCAACGATTATGGCCTCGGATCAGTTACAGGTGGAACTCCTAACTTGACTCCTACGTCTGCAGGACCCTTGGGTCTCAGAGAGGATGCATTCCTTGCCAACGGCATGAGTAACATGTCACTTGGATATGATCGTCAACCCCGTTCGAACGCGCCCGGACGTATTGGTCAGGAAAGAGATAGCTACACATCAAACGCTGGTCCTATTGGAAGCCAGCGTCCAGTCAATGGAAGCCTTGAAGACAGCAGCTCCAGAAATGGACAAAGTGCAGTTCCAGAGAGACAACCAAGAGGCCCTACTAGTGATCAATGGGGATCAGGATTTTCTCGCAACAGACAAAATGGTCATGGTAGCAAAAGCAGTGATGGTAAGTCGTGATGATCAATACTGAGAATTTCTAGCTAACCGAATGACAGATTCATCTGAGCGAAACGGATTCACCTCCGCATCTCGGTTCATGTAATACTCCTCGAGAGATTTACGACGTTACGAACATTAGAGCTATTGACGCGACCTATTCCCACCTATTATAACGTCAAATTACGGGCAGCGGCGTTTAGTTGTCATCCCCTTTCCCTCAGCGGAAACACGTTCTCTTCCATGCGATCTTTTTCAGAGCTTCTGATTTGCCTAAAAACAGGCTCGTCAAGCTCGGCTCTTGTTACTGTAATTACACTTGTGACCTTGATCTCCCAATTGGGAGCCCCTGGGCTCTAGACCTATTCTTGCTCGCGGTATATACAAATTTTGCTTAATACTATCACCGATTGGCTTCCGCGAACGACGACATATAACGAATCAACTAGGATACCATTAAATCGACTGGGCAACCTTGACGATAACGCTACTATGACCTCCTTTCGGTATCCATCAAAACTAGGATCCGGATTATTTTAACGTCTTTGGACAATGAATCCGATAATAACAGAGGGGCTCGCCACACCCCTTTTCTACCCACGATTGACGACCGTAACGTCCTGTCATGCTATAAAATTATAAAAATTACCTTGGTCAGATATTCCAGATATCGACTCAAACCAACATCGATGTCTACTCGCTGGTTCTCGAGTTGAATTTACAGGGCTGATTGAGGAATACGAAATCATTGTACTTTAATTGTTTACTGCTCCTCTAGGTCATCGAAGTTGGAAAATTCTTGTACTGTTGTTGCTGGGACTATTAGTTTCAGAAGGGGGGGTTTGAAGGCCATATGTGCATGTTTGATTTCAGGGTGTATTGGGTTCTGACTCTTATTGCATGAGACATGGAGTAGGACTTCAATGCACCCTTTTGCGCTTGAATTTGTGCTGCAACTGATATTATCATGTTATCACGGCGTCTGGCGGTGGGGAAATAATAGGATATAGGGAAAACAATCACTCATCGCCTACTCTGTCTTATTATCATGTGTTTCGTGACCATTTGTGATTCTCTACTTGATACATTTCCTGTCCCAAGTTGTTCTATGGACCAAATTGTAACTATCCTCTTGACAAAATAGATCCCGATTGTTTACTGGCTGTTTACTGTCCCTCACCGCTATTTGTATACCACTCGGGCCGGGACTTCCGCTCCGTACGGAAGGTTACTTTGCATCCGAGCCTCTTAGCTTGATATGCCTACAGATGTTGAACGGCAGAAGTTGAAACATTCCCATGTGGTTCAAGGATGTTATCGGTGATAGATGGGGATTAGTACATCAGTATCATTAAACACTTGAGATATGAATTCTAGAGAGTGATAGTGTAGATTGGGGAACACTTTGTTGATTGGGTATGAGGAGATGTGCTCCTTGAATCAGATTGGCAAACGAATCTAGAATGAAAATTGAAGGGAATAGATGGATGGGTGGTTAAACTCTCGAAATGAATCTTGATTGGTTGTTGGAGCTCATTGGCAGTTGAGGTTTCTTATCCAATCTCATGCCTTGAATGTGAAGATTATGTAAGCTTGAGCTTACCCTAGCTCCATTGAAATTCAGTCAGAAGTCAAATGATTGATCGACATCTTTCCATCGCATCCAACACATCTCACAAGGCCTCATTAATTTGTCGGACTTGCTCCTTTGTACAACTCAACATGTCATCACTCTACAACCTCGAACCTCAACCTACTGCATCATGCATTTTACACACCACCTCTGGCGATATCTCTCTCGAGCTCTGGGCGCAACAAATCCCCCTCGCATCTCGTAATTTCCTGCAACATTGCCTCGACGGCTATTACGATAATACAATATTTCATCGCCTTGTGCCGGGCTTTATTCTACAAGGTGGTGATCCTACAGGCACTGGATCTGGCGGAGAATCGATTTACGATGGCGGCGAATTTTCTGAAGAGAATGGCGTATGGCCGATGGAAGAGCGAAAAGGTCAAAATGCGGGACCGAGAGGAGTGGGCTTCAAGGACGAGTTTCATAGCAGGATAAAATATAATAGGAGAGGATTGTTGGGAATGGCCAATGAAGGGAAAGATACGAATGGGAGTCAGTTCTTTTTTACTCTAGGGGATACGCCTGAGTTGATGGGGAAGAATACGTTGTTTGGTAGGGTGGAGGGAGAGACGATATATAACTTGGCGAGGATGGGGGAGGCGGAGTGTGGAGAGGGAGAGAGACCGTTGTATCCTACGAAGATTACGGGGGTGGAGGTGTTGGTCAATCCGTTTAAAGATATGGTTAGGAGGGAGAGGGTTGCAAAAATTGCGGTTCCCGAGAAGAAAGCTCCAGAAAAGAAAAAGAAGAGGAAAGCTGGGAAACAGTTGTTAAGTTTTGGGGATGATGGGGAGGAAGGTGTCGAACAACCAGTTGTCAAGAAAAAAGCGAAGTTCGATACGAGAATTGTAATGGATGATGGAAATGCAGATAACGAACCGGAACCGGAAGCTGAACCTAAGGCTAAATCCGCGTCGAAAAAGAAGGCGCCCAAAGCACGATCATTAGAATCTCCTCAATCATCGCCAGAACCCGAAGCAAGAGCACCTCCCAAACCGTTGCCCAATAGAGCCGCAAAACTCGAACGAGATATTTCTTCCTCTCCAGAACCTCAAGTTCAAAAGGTTACTTCTTTACTAGATCGCACAAATGCGCAAATAGCGGAACTAAAAGCATCCATGAAGCGGAATGTTCAAACTGCTCCCGAGCCTAAGAAGAAGAAATCCGCTTTGGAAGCCATGATTCCAGCAACATCCGTTCGTGGGCGAAAGCGCAACGCAAACGGAAAGTCAAATGCTAGTAACGATCAAGCAGCTCTAGATATCTTACGAGCATTTCGAGAGAAATTGGAAACTGCACCACCTGAAAAGGAAGTGGCTAAGCCCGTATCACATGATGAAGCTGAATCGAAAGCCGAGGAAGATGGAACGGTTGATGATGAAGAAGCTGCATTGTGTGATTTACACTTTATTGCAAATTGTCAGTCTTGCAAATCATGGGAAGCGCAAGGGAAGAAGAAGTGGAAGAAGATTTTAATGACAAAGGGTGGATGTCTCACGCGTTGAGTTTCAAGGAGGACAAATTAGGCAAGGATCTCAGTTATAGGAAGAAAGCCGAAGAAGAATTGGTGGTTATTGATCCTAGAGAGAAAGCTAAGTCGCTGAGGGAGGAAATGAAGGCGAAAAGAGAGGCGAAAGCTGGAGGTTCGACGGGTAGAGAATGGGATATCAAGCGAAATGAGAAATTAGCGAGAGGGTCGGCTTTGGCTGGGAGAGGAGCTAAGTAGGAAATCTATATGGTAATGGCGATAAGGAAGTGTGATAAATGGTTCACATGACGAAATGGTCTCTAATGATATAAAGAGGAGAGTCTTTTCGATCACAAGTCAGGAAGCTGAATTGACACATCAGTGGTTTCTCCCAAAGTGATGCAGATGATGCGACAGTGAACAATGAAGATGATGAAATAGGCGATATATCGAAAGAAGAAGAATTAAGCAGGCAAAGGGAGGAGAGGATGGAAGTGATCTGGATCTCTTGGCAGTCCGTGGGACCACCGCTGGAGTGGCAGTCTATAAGGATAGCATTGAAGTAGGAAGTTCTCAAAGAAAATTATTTGGATCAATATCTCAGATTTCAAAGAAAGGTTTCGAGCGTAGCGAGCTAGGGGGTTTGGGGGCTTGCCCCCATTAATAGAAATTTAGGTAGATAGGAGAAATTGAAAATGAAAATGAAAATGAAAATGAAAATGAAAATGAAAACGAAAATCTACATTGTTTGTGTGCAATAGGATGGATGGATGTAGGGTTTACAAATGGAAGTGAAGTTGGAATTAATTTGATTTTGAAGATATAAGTTTTCTTTGGATGGGTTTCATGTGTACAATGTGGCTACCTATGTATAATAGGAAGATGTGAAATGATAGATAGGGTACCGATAGTATGGTACTGGGAATTGCTTAAGTGAAAGTCTGTTTTTGATATGAGATGGATGGATTTGGATTGGATTAGATTGGATTGGGTTGGGAACTCCGAACTCCTTGTGTGTTATGTGTTGAGGGTGCTCAGGTGGGCGGGGGAGATGGATTGTTATTTAACACTCATCCATTCTGCCTCTGTGGAGATTTACTTTTGGAAGGTATGTATCTGGGTGGATAGGTACTTTGGTAGATATTGGTGTTATTGTTATTGTTAATATATTCCAACTCTCTTTGTGGTGTGATGTAAATGAAGATAGATATACGAGGTACTTTTGGAAGCTATCTAATTGAATAGAAACATACTACACACCTGCGAAGTAGATAGATAGATATCCACCAAGCTACCTCGCGAGACGCGACCGACGGGAAATTCCGAACACCAGACTCAATCTGCAAGATTAGACGAAAAATGTGAAGATGTGGATGGGGATCTTTTGCCAAATTGGATGGTGTTTAGAGTGTGCGTTTTGGATTCTTTTGGAATTGATGTTATGTGGCTTTGTTTAGGGATTGTTGTTAGGGTAGGGGGAGTTTTGAGAGGGATTTTGGGTTGGAGGTTGGGGGTTGGGGTTTGGGGCTTGATGTGGTATTGAATTTTTGAGTGAGGTGTACACGGTAGATTGTTGGTGTTGGGGTTTTGGTGTTGGTTGCGAGACAGGTAGGTATCTATCTATCTGCTAGTGCTAGGTATCTATTTACTATACCTCCTTATATTGATTCCCCACCTGACCCACTGAGCTAGTCATAAACATTATCTAATTAAAAAATGAGAAGTCCATGATTTTCTGTGATGCACTAGCGATTTATCGATCAGAGGATTAAAAGCTCCGCTCTCTGATAAGGTTAAGGTTGATGAGAGAGGAGAGAGTGAAGCCAAAAAAAGATGGTTGGTTGGTTGGTTGGAGCACCGGTGGAGTGGAGGAAAGATTGTCAGCCTTGTTATTAGTCAGCATTGTCATCATCGATTGAAAGCTGGGGGGGTGAAATTTCTGAAGACAGAAGACTGAAGACGGAATTTGTGGATGTAGGTAGGAGAGGAGGTACCTAGGTAGAGAGAGCAGATGCGTATACTCCGGAGATGCGGATTCGTAGGGAAGTGGATGTAAATGTATGTAGAAGATGTATATGCATTCGGACTGGAAGTTGGATATATATTTCATATTGTGGACTATCTTGTGCGTATACAGAGAGAGTGTGTAGAGTATCATATTTACACTTGGTAATCTGATCTATCTACCCATCTATAGCAGTATCTCTTCTATCTAGGTATATCTCCTAGACATTAGATAGACAGAATAAATTATACTGAAAATAATCTATATAATTTAAAACTCATACAAATGTCTTCTATTCCCATTCAACTGATATCTCCATCTTTCTCTTTCCACAATTAGTTTATCCAAGTAATGGGAATCCAAAAAGTTTCAATTCCAATCAATAAAAGAACAATAAACTTCAAGAAGAATCCCCCTCTCCCCCCCCCCCAAATCAAAACACACAACGAAGAGCAATATCAACTTTATCAACTTGCATCATACATAACCCCACTACCTATTTCCACCCCCTTCAACCTTTGTTTTGAACAATAACTTATTCTAAGAATCATCTCAACACATCTACCATTGACTCATATCTTCCGTCCATACCTTTGATCCGCCATCATCATTTATAGATACCTTCAATCCTTCCTGCACAATTCCATCAACTCATCGCCCCGAGCCTCTACCAGAATCTCCCGCGACAATCGCCAAAAAAATTAAAGGCAAACATTTTCCACCATAGAGTAAACCATTTATCTTCGAGTTTGGCGTCGCACATCTATCCTCTGCTTGAAGTCGCTAGGGAGGCTGCAGGTAGCCTCGACTTTGGACCCGTGAATCGTTTGCTACGGCACCACAATACAGCAGCACAATTTCTACATAACAGCTCACACTTCTACCTTCACTTCCCCTTCCATCTACTTCTACGACAGCTACACATCCTGTAAAAGATCACTTCCACGCCCATCCCGCATACACACCTCATCGAATGTATTCTCCTCACATGTCTTCCACCAATCCCAGAAAAAGAGCTGCACCGGGAGCCTCGTCTACGATTCAAACACCACAAATGCAACAAACATATAATGCAGGTACCCAGTTACCTAGTGCCGAATTCTTGCGCTGGAATCAAAACTCTGATCCTCAAAATTTCGCAGATCCAACCACGAGCAATTATATGAATATGTTTGGAGCAAATCCCGGTCTACCGCAAACGACCACCGGTTTTGATCATTCCATTGCCGCGCAAACTCACTCGACGCAATTGGCTCGTCGACCGAATGTGAATAACAATCGCCAACTTGTTGCGCCGCGGACGTACGACGGTTCGGGTGATGCTTGGGGAGCTTTTGACGATTCGATGATGGATTTACAGAATGGGCATGGGGTGAATGGGGAAAATGATGATATTGAAGCTCTGGAGGAAAAAGCGGCTATTGCGAAAAGAGATGCTCAGTCAAAGAGAAAACAGATCCCACCATTTGTGCAGAAGCTAAGCAGGTAAGCGCTTCATCTTTTGCGAGCTTCGATTGGCATTGTTTGCGCTGACTTTCTTCCTTGATAGCTTTCTTGACGAATCGAAGAACACGGAACTCATACGATGGTCGGATCGAGGTGATTCGTTTGTGGTGCTGGATGAGGATGAGTTTGCGAAGACGTTGATTCCGGAATTGTTTAAGCATAATAATTATGCCTCTTTCGTGCGACAACTTAACATGTATGGTTTCCATAAGAGAGTAGGACTTTCCGACAATTCGATGAAGGCTAGTGAGAGGAAGAATAAGAGCCCGAGTGAATATTACAATCCTTACTTCAAGCGTGGACATCCAAATCTTCTATGGCTCATTAATAAACCGAAGGGGGGAACGAATAAGATTCGTAAGGAGGGAGGACCTAGAAGAGGGAAAGTTGAGGAGATGGGAGATGGAGATAGTGATGATGAGGCGAGAGACATTGAAGAATTTGGTCAAAATAACTATACCAACAATGCAGCCACGAATCGAGCGATATCAGCCGCGCCAGAGTCTGGACCATTACAACGACGAGAAATTGCAGTTGTGCAGGGTCAAATCTCTGATATTCAAAAACAACAAAACACCATCTCACAAGCTATTGCACGCCTGAGAAAGGATCACAATCAGCTCTATCAACAAGCCATGGCTTTTCAAAATCTTCATGAACGTCATGAGAGTTCGATCAATGCCATCCTCACCTTTCTTGCTACGGTCTACAACAGAAGTTTGGACGGACAGGGAGCTGAAAATATTACTCGGATGTTTCAAACTGGGTTGAATCAACAAGGTCCACATCCACAACAAGGCAATGTTGTGGATATTGGTGACCTTGGAACTCCTCAGCAGCAACCAGCAGCTGGAAGTGTTAGTCCGGTTGTTCGTAAAACACAAAAGTTATTGACAGCAGGACCACCGGAACGAGAAAGCAGTCGAGTTACTGAAGCTTCAACCGCTGCTTCTAGTCCAAGAAATCAGTATTCGACTCCACGTTCCGGAACAGTTGAAGAACTTTTCGAATCTCCTAGTGATAGTACGACAACGAAGACTGAACCGCAAAGGGACATGTTGAATATTATTCAAAACGCTAATTCACAAAGTCGACCTGAGAATAATGTTATGGACTTTCCGGACATGCTCACACATTATGAGAATGCAAACGGAAATTCCCCGCTGACCTCGGAACAGCGCAGCAATATGCTTAATATCATTGCTAGCACTTCATCAGCTCCAGGTTCCAACAATGCACTTGTGAGTCCGGCACCTCAGGCACCTGATCTAGCACAAATGGCCTATACTCAAGCTGAGATTGAAAACTTGATGGGATTACAACAACAGCAAAGTGATCGTATTGCAAGTCTTTCCGCAAATCTTACACCTCTCAGTCCTTCGGGTTCTATCCCTGGTGTTCAAGGCGACTCGTATTTCAATGGCGCTGAATCCATTGATCCTCAGCATTCACATCTGGATTTAGACAAATTTTTCGATTCCCAGGCATTTTATAGTGGAGGGAGTCCGGGAAATCCGAGTTTCAACTTTGATGATTTTGGTAACGGAGTGGATGGGAGTGGGTATGGGGGTGGAGAAAGTCATTTTGATGTTGGTATGGATGGTGTGAATGATGGGAGTGTGAATGGTACTGGATCGAATGGGAATGGAGTGAGTAGGATTGTCGAGACGGTAGCGAGTAGTGAGTCGACGAGTCCGGCGGATGATGGAATGGGAGATGGGAATGGGAATTTGAATGGAAATAGTAATGGGAATGACAACGCGAGTAATAAGCGGAGGCGGAAGATCTGAGGATGGAACATTGAGTGGGTGGGAGAAAGTGCGAATTGCGAAAAATTATGGGATAAGATGTTAAGGCTGGTGTCAAGGGGCGTTTTTCTTTCCATGGAAATGGAGGTGGTTTAGGTGGAATGGATGGGTGGATACTTTGAGAGGATCGATAGTTGCGGGCGGATATTATGTTGGTTGATTTTTACCTTTTTAGATTTCGGCTCGTGGAGTTCTTTCCATGTTCTTTTCTGTTCAGTCCGTTTCTCTGTTGAGGTGAAATGGAATGGATGGAATGATATTACATGAGAGAGAGAGAGAGGAGCAAGGAAAAATGAAAAAGGAAAAGGAGAGGGGAGAAAAATTCATGTGTTCATATTCATATTCACATCGTACTTGTGGGGATTGGGGATGGGGGTGGATATTTGAATTTGAACAATGGCAAAGGAAAGATGGTATGCTGCTGATGGTGGTGGTAGTGGGGGGAATTTCGGGCTGGATGGGAGTTTCCTTTCCTTTCCTTTAGGGAGAGATGGGGCAGGGCAGGCATAGCATGCATTCATGCATGCATGGCGTTTTACTTTTCTGCTATTTTACTGTTCACCTTGTTGCCAAATCTTCAGACCTTTTTCCTGATTGATCGTCTCTTGCTTGTCTTGTCTTGTCCTTTGTTTTTGGTCCAGTCATAGGGAAGATGGGGTGGGATTGATGGATGGATTGAGTGAGTGAGTGACAGGTGGAGGGGGATTTACTGTATGGAGGTTGCTTAGCTATATACGTATCTAGCAAGGAAGTAGAATAGCAAGAAAGTAAGAAAGCACTTGATGGGTGAGTGCGATTGTTTATACCAATGTGGATTGCTATCAAGGAATGGTATGGAAGATTAGTGGGAAAGCTCAATACTCAATAAAGAATAGTATGAAATACTGGTATTAGAGATTTATGTTAAGATTGATGTTTATTGTTGAAGATCAAGATTAGAACGACGAGTCAATATCAGAGAGGATGGTAGAAGATGATGGTAGAAGAGAATAGTAGAAAAGATGAATCAATGTTGAGATCCCTTATTGGAGTTGCCGATGCGTAAATTGAGATACTGGAATGGTGAAACTGTGAAATGCTGAGATGGTGATGATGATGATGCATTATGGTATTTTGGCATGAGATTAGTGGGTTATTCCCCCCCCCCATCCCTTCCCACTGCGTTTTTTTTCTTTTTGGTGGAGAGGAATGAGTGAGAAGGTGAGAGAGAAGAAAGGGTAAGGGGAAAGGAGAGGGAAAGCAAAGGTAGTTTGAGAGGCGAAGGAGGAGGGGAGGGATATTAATAGTTTTATGGCTGGCTAGTTGGCTGGATGGATGGATAGATAGATAGACAGATAGATATTAAATTGGATTGAATTGAACCAAGTAAATAAATAAATAAATAAATAAATAGAGAGATAGATGTATAAATCAAAAGTATTCACATCATTCATTACATCATCATTGAAACGATTGCCGATCCAAGATTCGAGATAGAGGAATCGATACCCAGTATGAGGTTTGAGGTGGGGCTGTAAGTTGTGTTAAAATCGAGGGTTGGTGCTGATAGAAGTGGATGATGATAATGATGATGGGTAATTGATGATTTGGGCGTGTACTTTGTGGTTGTGGGATGTGAGCGTAGATGTGTAGATATGTATATGTATATATATGTATTGTTACCAACGTGGTTGAGTATCGCTTGAAAGTTTGGTCGAGGGACTGAGGGGTGTTTGCTACGGAGAAGAAGGAGATTAATCTTTCTCGGGAATGGAATAGATGGATGGAAGCGGAGTATTATTCTTGATTGCTTCTTCTTCTTGAGAGACTCAATGTCGCTTTTCGTTGGAATGCATGGTTAGTTGTATCGAAACTCATCTCGAGATTTCGGAGGGAAATCCTGATCAAGTACATTCGAGTAGCGTGTAGGTTTGGTGAGTTTTCAGGGTTCGGAGCCCATAATTTCATGGATGGTAGAGTATCATCATCACTAATCATAAATCTACCGCACTGAATACTCGCGATACTTCGTCAGGAAAGTAAATGATGACTGGATAACAGAAGAATGTCTTTAGAAATCGGCAATTCGAAGGACCGGAATGCCAAGATCCGTAGATGCGTGAAGATTCCATAGAAATCTATCTATTGAAACCTAAATGGAGTGATTTTTAAAGAAAACATAGTATGAAGATTTATCGATTGGTGAAGCTGTGAGCGCGGCTGATGGTTTGACTTGACCGTCGGCTTCTCATCGCTTTCTCTCGGCATCGACATTTCGCCTTTGATCAAAGAATCGGATGAACCTGAAGGATTTGATTGACGACTACTAGGTCGTCGAGTAGTAATGAAACATTACCTGGTATTAGCAAGAACGATATACTATCCTAGCGCCCTATATCATCAGGGATATTCATGCCCATTACATTTCCAATTCCACAGTCTTTATGCGACCGCGACCAATTCTCCATGGATAATACCAAAAGTAGACGCAAATATTGATTTCAACCAGCTATTCGTAAAGACGTTCATATGATTGGTATGAAAGATACTTCTCAAAGAAGAGCGAGTACGCGAATAAACATCAGTCTGTCATCAATCAACTCGAATCTGCCTTTCCATAGCCATCTTAACCCAGGAGATTAAATATGCCAGCTGATGCGGCGAAGTTCTCGTAGAAAGCTAACATGTACCTAGCTCATCACATTCTCAGAGGCTGTTTCGAGAGTCGCTGATGTGAAGTTGTAGACTAGACCAAGGACCTGAATCCAGAAGATTGAAGGTGTCAACTAGAAAAGAGCGTGGGATTGTAAACATGAGATCTTTGTCATATTTCGTCATGCTCTGCGCGTTTTCATTTACTGGAAGGTTGACTTTTGAAAATTAGAATGCATCAGAATTAGGCACCGACTTAAAGATATCCAAGTTTGGACTTGCGGACCTCCTCCTAGTCATTGCGGAGCCAAGGAATATAACTAAATATAAAAGTAATCGGATGACATGATTATAATTAACTTTGCGGACCAGTAATTAGAGCCATCTCCCTAAAAGTCGCAGAATGAAGAGTAGATTAATGATATATAGGATTCGGATTTATTGCCCTTTCATCATGAGCTTTTGTGAATCTGAAGCGAGTTTTCATGCTCTCCTAATCAGGAGATCGTATTTTGGATAAATAGTTCACAGGGTTCTTACGAGCTTGCAAGCATCGCACTGTCATATTTCTCGTACATCCGTAGATCCACAACTTGTATATTGCTGACTTGATCTGACATGGCAAGTTCCGTTTCCAGTCTCAAGATCCATGACATTGATGTAGATTTGAATGCTCCGAATGAAACCAGTTCCTGCAAGGTGATTGACAAGGTCCAGACAATCTGAAGGTGGTTTTCAAGAATACTGCCAACTTTCTATGGTTAACCTTAATGTCCCATGCCTGGTATTTGATTCCCGAAAAACATCACGGGTGGCTGAACACCAAAAAGTCAATCTCATGTTAATTAATCAATTCCCCCGCATTTAATCGTGTAGCATGAGGGATAATGGCGATTGGAATCATCTTCAATCGCTTGTGGTTTGCGCTTGCGAGTCGAGTTGTGGAGCACTATTTGCAACGAGATTTAGAGGATTATGTCAGGATACTAAATGGGTTTGATCTTGTGTTGCATGTATATGAGGTTGATAAATACTTCGATGGTGATGAATGTTCAGTCATACCTATATTATTGTACTTGAAATGATTAAAATAGAAAATCAGCAGCGGATGTATACCCCTTATGGGAAATACTTGGCGATGTCAACGTATACGCCCCAGACAATACAGTGCTTACTGCGTGGCTAAACATTTTGCACTGTGTTACCATGAATTTGCGACGTCAGGAACCTATGACGATCCTACCTAAGCGACGGTTGAACTGAAATGAAGGCTAGGCTCATCAATATGATAAAACAATAAATTGCTAATTCTCATGAGACAGTAAGTGCTTCCAAGAGCTCTGCTTGACAGCGATCATATATATACACCATCCAGGAAATTGTCTTTATTTTCTTTGCGATTTGAAAGGTTAAGCTGGACTTCTGTAAATTCTGCATTGTCCTGAGCCTCGGACTATTCGTGGACCTTCGACTGATCTTGTCCCGAGAATTAGTGTAGGGAGGAGCAAGGTATATAAAGCTCATACCAGTAATGTGAAGCGAGAAAAGTATTTCGGATGATATATAAAGTGATGGTTGGTTACACCCGATATTCTCTTGTACATCTTTAGCCAATTGTGACTATTGCTTACTGTATTGTGCATTTATCCCAATTAAGCTTATTACTACCGCTAATAAACTCCTAAAGTGTCAATATCATGGCGGTTATCAATTCGAACCAGTTCTTAGTTTTGATGGAGCGCCTATCGATAAGATAAGTAGATTCTGGCACAAGTACGCGAGCTTTGTAGATCTGAGCCTTGGCCATCAGTCAGACAGATAGCTGGGTGCAAGAACCTGGGTTCAAAGCTCATTTATCTTTGAAATGGTTGGATGGATTTGTGGATATCGTCCTTGGAGTAAACTTCAGGAGGCGATTCAACGTTCGCCAAATGGTCCGAGCCGTTATCATGTGGCTGACACAACCAATGAATTGCGGGGAGGACAACAATGTAAATCCGAAGTAAAGTGGTCATATATCCATTCTTAGGTCAACCAAAAATGGGTTGTAATACGGCATAACAATACTCCATGTGTATGACGCACTTCATTGGCTTCTGAGTTGACGTGGTAAATTGATTGGCGGAGTTCAAGGGGCTAGAGAATAAACGTGATAGTATAGCCCGGAAAAATGGAGACAAATACAATCTGATTATTGTATGCGTGTTGCCCTGCATCTCGGATAGGTTTCTACATTAAGTAGGAATACGATTCGGTAATAATAAGTATACAGCAACAAAACAAACGTTTGAAGAATCTCTCTACTTATGTTAGTCGGGATTTCAAGTGAAGAAGGGAAGTTCGGTTCACCA